TAGTATTTTGTTAGACGGGTATAAAAAAGCTTAGTTTACCGCGGCAGCCATCACGTGAAAGCCTCCTCGTGTGCAGACCGAAGAGTGTAAAGACCATCGACTCTATCATGCGACTCCACCGGGCAGGACACCGGCAAAGGATAAGTAACGCTTTTTATTTCTCCTCTTTCCTATTACTTGTTTCGCTTCTGTTTAAGTTTGTATAACCATTTCTTACTATGTGTCAGTAAGTTGTTGTTTTTTAGCATGTGTGTTTGGCAGTGTTATTTTTTAGGATTACTGATAAACTACTGTCATTTGATTTGTATTATTTGTATTTGTTATTTATTTTAATTTTAGTTACATTATGTCTGAATTTATTATGTCTGTATCTTAGTGTTATGTTATGTTAGAATCATTATTATACTCTTATACCTTTTGTTCTTTAATATTTTAAATTGTTTTTAGCTTTATTTTTTGTTTTTCATTGAAATGTTAAGTTTAGAAATTTTGTTGTATGCATTTGTCATTTTGATTGAATCTCTTTATTTTTAAAATGTGTATAGGTAGTATTTATAAAGTTTTAGCTTTTAGTTTTGGGTCTGTTTTTAGTTGTTTTAATACTACAATTGATTGCTTCTGTTGTCCTCATTTGTAAGTCGTTTTGAAAGCGTCTGATAAATGACTAAAGAAAAAAGAAAAAAAGAAAACGCAGAGTGCAGTCACCATGGAAACGCTAAACAAATTACCCGGAAGGGCAGCGTAGCGACGCATTAACAAACTAAGCACAAAGAAAGTTGATATAAAACTCACCTTCATCTTCCAGTCCAAACTTATCCAATAACAGAGATGGAGGGTCTCGCGTCCGTGCATGATCTCCAGGCGCTGTCCGCTCTTCTCTCCCCAAACCATGAAGATGAGGAAGAAGATCTCCAGGTTTGAAGCTCTAACAAGCGCTGTTTTACACTGTCGACTGTTAAACGTTTGCGTAAGGATGTAAGTCGCTGAATTATCCTTATAATTATTTTTTAGCAAGTGAAGCCCATGGCGAGGATGGGCCCGGGACATATTTCGGAAAAAAAGAGCAAAGAGGGTATACTGTATTTATATATCATAGATGTAATGCAATAATATGTCATTTATAAATATAAATAGATTTTATAATACATATTTAAAAGTAATTTTATATAAATATGTAGAATAATACAAATATTTAATAGATGATTTCATGTTTTATTTTATTTACATTATAAATAATTTACATATTTTGAAATTGTTATATAATTTCTTTGAATTTGTTCAAACTTGTCACATGTTTTGCTATTGTCATGCTGCTATTCATGGGTTCACTTTTGAGAACGTTAAAGCATCCTTCTATATCCTTTTTATCTCTCTCTTCCCTCTAGGTAGCACTGCCTATGTGAAGAAGAACAGCAAAAACATCTGGGATGAGGATGAAGTGACTGAGGGAGCACATTTTGATGACCTCAACGACCCACAGCCACAGCCAGAGTAAAACAAAATTAGGGATGCACCGATATGAAAATTTTGGCCGATACCGATAACCGATTATTCTTTATTTTTGAAAGCCGATAATACATGCATGGCAGAATCACATATGAGCTGTAAGTAAGCTGGACTCTCACTGTATGTTTTTGTTTGTTTAGGTACGAGATTGTGCTGAAACAGTCTGTTGGGACTGAAGATTTGTTTCTTGGCTTGAGTAGAAAGGACCCCTCATCCATGTGTTGTGACAGCATGCTGGTACTCCTTATTATTAACTCATTCAATCTTAAACATTAATACAACATTCAGCAAATACTATAGCATCTTTATTAGAGTTATTAAATAAAGTGTTAGCAAAGCTACATTTACTTCCAAGAATAAATTACCCAAAAATTACTCACCCTCAAGCCATCCAAGATTAGTTTGTTTCTTTATTGGAACAGATTTGGAAAAAATTAGCATTACACCACTTGATCACCAGTGGATCCTCTGCAGTGAGTGGGTGCCTTCAGAATGAGAGTCCAAACAGCTGGTAGAAACATCACAATAATCCAAAAGTAATCCATACAACTTCCGTTGATCAATTAATGTCTTGCCAAGTGAAAAGCTGTGTGTTTGTAATAAAACAAATCCATCATTAAGACATTGTTAAAGGGGTCATATGATGTTGCTAAAAAGAACATTATTTTGTGTATTTGGTGTAATGAAATGTGTTTATGCGGTTTAAGGTTCAAAAAACACATTATTTTCCACATACTGTACATTATTGTTTCTTCAATAATGCCTTCACCTGCCTCACCCAGTGCACAAACAGGAGGGGAATGCCAGATTCATTGTGGAGAGAGAAGAACTGGAGATCACACTGCCCATGAACAGACCAATGGACTGCATCCACCTGACCTGAGAGAGTGACTGAACCATGAGCTGCATCAGTTCAGAATAGACAGTGGACAACTTCTACAGATACAGTTCTGCAGCCTTTCACTGACAGTCTTGAATCCAACCCATGAAACATGACCCATGAGTTACCTCACTTATCAATTAACACTAGAACCAGGAAACAAACACGAAATGTTTCCAAATCAAGTCAATCCAAGTGGAAAGGAACAGGTGCCTGTGTAAGAATATATTGCTGTCCAGTTATTCAGTATTATAAAACTGTTTTAATTCTCTTGTAAGTTTAAGCATAATAAAATGGTGAAATCCTTTTAATTCAAGATTGCTTCTCTTTATGTTTTCAAATAATAGTTTAAAGCAAACTGTAAAAGTTATACAACTGTATTGGCATAGCTAGTAAGAAGATTTGACCAGAAAAGTGACACTGGACCACAAAACCAGTCATAAGAGATTATACATACAGGTGCATCTCAATAAATTAGAATGTCATGGAAAAGTTCATTTATAATCTTCACTTAATATCCAAATGATTTTTGGCATTTAAAAAAAATCAATCATTTTGACCCATACAATGTATTGTTGGCTATTGCTACAAATATGCGACTCATGACTGGTTTTGTGGTCCAGGGTATCTAGAACTCATCTTTATAAGACATATTATCCGGAGATATAGAATAACTGGTATTTATATGCATTTTATACAAGTTGTTCACTATAAAGTTATAAAGATCTCACTGATTTACATTACATGCTTATCAGAATTACTTAGAAGAACTTATATTTTGGCCATACAAATAACAGCAACTGCATCGAATTACATATTTGTCTGCGCAAAATTATATCATGGGAGCCACTGAAGCCTGTTATCAACTATGATACAAAAAAAAAAAACTTTTTTAAACATTTATTTCTTTTTTTTATATTTTGTCTAAAGGTTCCACAAACTGTTCCATTTCAGGATAATTTTTTTTGTTGAAAAAAATCTATTATTTAATGTCATTCTTTACAGTGTTAAATCCTCAAAGCAGTCCCTGACTACACTACCTCACTAATCACAGGCAAAGACGAAAATCTTTATATTCACGACTGCAAGGTTTTATTTGATCACATTCTTCTAATGAGCAGCCTAAAAGAACAGATAAATGCTTTATTACTGGTGTTTACTATAGGCATTTTTAAAGTAAACTGTAGAAGAATGTGCTTCATTTCTGCCTGCACACATTTGTGAGAAGACACAGCTCTTGTGTATACAGTGATCTTAGAAATGGCTGTAAGTGACAGAATAAACAGCGTGTCGTGCGTTATTGCTCATGGGCATCATGCAATACATCCCCCGAGCGCACGGATGCGCACACGCGTTGCCACAGCAGCGGACGTACGCTTGACGCAGGCGGGCTCCACACCACACACTCTCTCCGGTAGCACAACAATACAAGCTCTCGCCGCTCCCCCTCGTACGCCTCGCTCTCGGTATGGCGGACGGCGAGCGGTCCCCGTTGCTCTCGGATCTCGGCGATGGAGCTTTGGGCAGTGGTAACGGCGGGGTGTCTCCCGGAGCGGCTCCACACGGTGCTCCCAACAAACCGCAGAGTGAGTAACGTTAGCGAGCGTGGCGCTTTTCTGCGCTGTCACGGGCCGCGCACACACACTCACGCACACCAGTGCATTTACTACGATCTAGGTTCGGTACAGTTTCTGTGCGGTTATTCGCTTTATTTTGCATGCTGCTGGTGATGATGGAAGCAGGACATGAGCGGATGGTTTTCTGGCGGATCGCAATGGAGAGGCAGATATATGTGTTGCACATATATAGATACACCTGCGTCCGGAGGATGATATTATTTTGACAAACAAATAATGTTGAATTGATCCTCCATCAGAGAGGCTGTTGCGCAGCTAATGAATGAATGAGCATCACTGTTGGGTTGTTCAGGTCTGTTTACTGTTCTGTTATCGGCCTTCCCGTGGAGAGGCAGATATATGTGTTGCACATATATAGATACACCTGCGTCCGGAGGATGATATTATTTTGACAAACAAATAATGTTGAATTGATCCTCGCATACTTTTGTCATCCATCAGAGAGGCTGTTGCGCAGCTAATGAATGAATGAGCATCACTGTTGGGTTGTTCAGGTCTGTTTACTGTTCTGTTATCGGCCTTCCCTTGACAAATAATAACGGGGCAGTATTTTCCTAAACTAGTCATATGACTGAAGACGACTGTACAAGGGGTTCCAGTGTCCCTTGTTTACCCACATTTACCGGGGAGTAATTACACATTTACAGTAATCTGCCGTATCCGCCAACTCCAGCTACTCCCAAACACAGGTGATTAGCACATCTTCGGACCATTCAGAAAGCCCGAAATTATTGCCTGAGGAGACCACAACCAATCATTGCGCAGAGCGGGCGGGGCCAATATAAAGTTACTAAAGGGCGTTCTGGTGATGTTGTGGTGGCGATTTTTAACTGATGTGGTGATGCTGGTGAAATTTTATCATAACGATGTTTATGTTTTATCACACTGACATTGGGTTTATGACTTGATTGTGGGAGCTTTCAAAGAGTTAAAACTACTTCAAATATCCTCACAAATCAGTTTGAATATGTTCCACTGTATTTGTAAGCACATTTTCAAAAATGTGGCCCCCACACTTATAGGCAAATGCGTACATGATCTACTTGGCACATTCCAGCAGTCTCCTTATAAAGCTCCTTTCAGCAGATCTCGAGACCAAATCTGATTTTCTTGTTAATCCTAATGGCCTGGGTGACAGAGAACAGTTTCACCTTCCCAAAGTGCAAGTTTCAGTGTTCAGTTTCAACTTTCAGAAGTAAATGAAACTTTCATGTTTTACGCCATTTTATGAGACAATATTTCCAGTATCTTTGCCAAACTGATAATACTAATGCTGTTATGCAGAAATTATGGATGTACTGTATAAATGAAACATTTACAGCATTGAAGTTGTGATTGTAAAAAATTACGCATACATGGAAAAATCGTTCACAATAAGATCTCTATCATGCAATTTGAAAATAGATGGGATGAATTCAAATTTTATCCTGACTTTTGGTGCAGTAAAAGTTGCATGATTGTTTATCATAATCTGCGATGGCAATCTCTTCCTTTTTAGGTTTTCCTCCGTTCCCGAGCTTGACTCAACCCCCTGTGTTGATGAGCGAGAACCCTCCACCATATTCCCCCCTGACGTCTCCAGAGAGTGGCAGTGCCCCAGTCATCAGCTGTAGGGTGTGCCAGTCGCTCATCAGCGTCGAGGGCAAAATTCACCAACATGTGGTCAAGTGTGGAGTCTGCAATGAAGCTACAGTGAGTTAGGACAGAGCACATGTACACTTTATGCATGATTTAAAAACTCAGGACGGATTAATTAGTTAACTTGTCAACTTTTGAATAATTGTAAAATTCTTAAATTTTGACTTGCTGCTTGTTTGACTGTTTGCATGCTACAGCTGATTCAATTCAAAATACTGTTATTGGTCATGACTGTAAACAATGCAGTTTTATCAATGCCAAGAATATGCACAAATTGAGTAATTGATTCAGTTAAATGTAATTGGGTTGACGGTTTATGGGCTTTTGTCAGCAAATACCATTCAAAAGTTTGGGGTCAGTCTCTTATGCTCACCAAGACTGTATTTAATTTTGAACAGTAGTGTATATACATTGAATGATTCATATTATTTACAGGCATTACATACAGTAGAATTAATTTGATTAAAATAACTTCATGTAGTAACCACACACACTATCATTTTTGGGTAACCAGAATGAACTGTGTCTCTCTCCTCCTTTCTGTTTTTTTTTCATTAACCTTCATTCTCTCCAGCCCATAAAGAATGCCCCTGCAGGGAAGAAATATGTGCGGTGTCCTTGTAACTGTCTTCTCATCTGCAAGGTCACATCCCAAAGGATCGCCTGCCCTCGGCCTTATTGGTAAGAGAGAGAGAACAGAAGGAGACAAAGTTAAATTTAAAATGAATGAAGTCTTTGACACTAATAAACGTCATCTTGTCAGTCAGGATTGTGCATGTGAAGAATTAAATGTGTTTGTCTGCTTGTCTGGACTAGTAAGAGGATCATAAATTTGGGGCCAGTCCATCCGGGTCCAGCCAGTCCAGAACCACAACCTGCTGGAGCTAGAGTTTCCTGCGGACACTGCAGCAACACTTTCCTGGTACATGCATGCATAATACAGCAACATCATACTGTATCATTATCCGCTGCAGTGACATCTTGACTGAATCACTCGGCTCAGGTTCAGCACCAAGTCGAATATCAGATGGCTATTTATTCTTGTTTTATTTATGCTACTGCCTCGCATTAGCTGCTCAACCACTTTCTCAACATTTCAGTGGACTGAATTTACTGACAGGACGCTGGCTCGTTGTCCCCATTGCAGAAAAGTGTGAGTATTTCTCAGCCAACATTCACGACACATATCGCATGTACCAAATAAATCAAACTCTTTTATTAGTTAATGTCCCATAACATTTTAACATCCTGTCCTAGCTTATTGCTTATAGACTATTAAGCTGTTCGTTGACTGATTCTCTCATATCTATGGCTCTTGTCAAAACATTGCTCTGTTTGTTTGAGCATGCAGACAAAGCAACATAGGGTCAGCCAATGGCATGAGTTTGGGGCGGGACTAACTGTTTCTCCAACCAATAGAGCACTGCAGTGATGACATATTTTTGTAGGCCGGCCCAGAAGTTAGCATCACCTTGGTTCCCTCAACAAAAACCAAGTAGGATTTTCCATTGGATTTTGGATTATTGCAAAAAAAAAAAACAACAACTCTGTGACCAATATTATTCTTACATAATTTTCGCAAATTAACACTTGAATTTGAAGCCTAAATACAGTTGTCAAAATAAAAAGCAAAACATAGGCTATGAACTACACCATGGTCACACGACTTCAGTGTCCTCCAATATTATCCTATTATTCAGCTCTTTCATCTTTTTTTTAAGATTGTCA